AGATAGGACGCTTAGGGAGGGCGGGTTTGAGGAGCAAAATAAATTCTCATTTACCTGAACCCTGTAACCTCATAACAGCTGCCACCTGTGGGTGCCAATAAAAGCCACACCCCTTAGGTGCCCCTCTAGCCTGCCTTTCAAATCTGTTTCCTTTGACCTCGTTTGGGAGCCTGATTTGGGGGTCTGATTTCTTGCTGATTGCCCCCCAATGGCTTCAGGCTATTTCTTGCTTTCTGAGGCCCCCTTTACTGGGGCTTGAGGCTTCAGTTCTTTTGACCCAAGTTCACACCAACCCCCTCACTCACAGGTGCTGCCTCCTCAGACCTCAGAGAGCCCAGCTTGAGGTCTCTTCTCTTGAGGAAGGATGGAGGGATGGAGGGATGGGAGTTTCCCCCTAAAACCCAGGTTGGCCTCAGCATCCGGTGTCCTGGTGCTACTCAAAATCCTACAAACTCTTCTCGTGCCAATGAGGCAGCGAGGCCCAAGGTGTCCAAGGCAGCCGGGCTCTTATTCCCCTGTATGACTGGAGGCCTACCTGCCAGCGTTCCCTGCAGGTCAGGGGTGCTCTGGAGTAATAGGCGACTCAGCTGTGGCAAGCTGAAGAAGTTAAAACAAAAAATACCCAACTCCACTTGTCTGGCCTGTGTCCTGGCCACAGTGAAGCTGCACTGCTGTGTGCCACGCCTAGGAAATTTCATCTCCACCTGTGGGACCTCCACGCCTTTCTCCTTGAGAAAACACCACCGGGACACAGAAAGCTCTGGGATGGGGGGGAGTGGCGAGTGGGAAGAGGAACTGCTGATGGTTTTGTGCCTAGAGGCCAAGGCAGAGAGAAGAGGGTCTGCCTCTGTCTGGGTCTTCCCCTGGGCGAGTGCTCCCAAGGCCTCCTGAGAATCAAACTGCCTGTCAGTCTCCTGTGGCAGGAGGTGGCCATCTGGGCTTTTGGGGGCACTACTGCAAGACCTATGTGTAAGGCTGGTGGCGGGCACCCCTCCCCTCCCTAAAGAAAAAAGAGAAGCCCATGAGACCCGCCCTAATACTGTAACATAGAACTCTCCTCTTTGCACGCCAAAACTTCGCACGGAAGAAAAACCCCCATCCCCCAACTCTAAAACCTTTATAAGTCTGCTCAACACTTCCGGGTGTGCGACTTCTCTGGCCCCCTCTCTCGGGACCAGTGAACCTTGCCCGGGAGCACTCCTTTTCCCCTTCCCCCAATAAAGCCTCGTTGCTTGCCCTTTTCACTCTGCTCGTCTTTCTTTCTCTGGCGCCGACCATCCAAAAACCTTACATTTGGTGCCAAAACCCGGGACCATCCAAAAACCTTACACTATGCAGATGAACTTCTCACTTCAGTGCCAAACAAGTGCCCAGGTAGGAATTGGTGACTTTTTTCCCCACAACAAATTAGCCCAGATCCTTGAACTCCAGTCCTTCGAGCAAGTCAAACTTGCTTTAAGGAGAGAAATGAAACGCAGTCCGCCACCTTTCGCGTCATCTCAGGGAAACCCTCCTGAAGGACCCTGGCCCCATCATGCACTCTAGACATCAGTGAAATGAGTAGCTGTCCCCAACTCAATGGAGCTCTGAGTCCTGTCAGTCTACTTCCAATGTGAGGTAACTGTGGACAATGATACAGACTGTGGTCCTCAAAACACAGTCCTCAGCCAGCAGCGGTGGCAGCACCACCTGGGAAATGCAAATTTTTCTGCCCACCCCAACTTTACAGATTGAGAAACTAACTCTGCGCCCAGCACTCAGGAGTTTAACAGCCCCTCCAGGAGCTTCTGACGCTCTCTCGAAAGGTTGAGAAGCACTGATACAGAGTGGTGGCCTTGGGCAGCTTCATGGACTGAGCCTTCCTTGGTTCAGCAAGCCTAACTCCCTACCAGGCCAAGACACCCCCCACCCCTGAGTAAGAATAGATTATGCTGATAAGTGACTTTCACTGTGGAGAGAGAGGGGGGTGACCAACAGTACCTCAGAGCTGCGGGGGGTGGGGGAGACACTTTCCAGAGCCTGACAGATGCTATTCATCACCTGCGGCCCACGGGACCCCACGACTCTTGTGGCTGGAGTCCTCACACCCTCTGCTTTCATTCCATCTTCTGCAGTCAGCAGTGTCAAGCCCTATGTCATCTGTGAACCCCATTTGGGATAATACATATCCTCTTGCAGGGAAAGGACTTCGGAAAGAAAAGCTAAGAGCCACTCCACTCCCTCACGTATGTATGTGTAACCATCTGGTCCCCATTCCTACCAGGCAGTGTATTCCATCCTGAGCCCAGCACAAGGTGTCCCAAAAGTATGTCAACACTGCCTTACAGGAGGGCCCCTCAGGTCCCACCCATTTCTTTCCTGGGGCCCCAGAGACTCTTCAAATGAAGATGCCTCACTTCCTGTCACAACTCTCTCATCTCTCAGTTGTATCAATTATGCTATTGGCTTTTTTGGCCAACATCTTTTTTCCTCTTTTTTTAAGAGACGGGGTTTGCTCCATTGCCCAGGATGCAGTAGAGTGATGTGATCACAACTCACTGTAGCCTCGAACTCCTGGGCTCAAGCGATCCTCCTGCCTCGGCCTCCCAGAGTGTTAGGCTTACAGGCCTGAGCCACCATGCCCAGCCGGCCCTATGCTGCACTTCTCAACTTGGGCTTCCTTATCCCATCCCCACTCATGCTATTTCTTTCACTCCTGGGCTCCAGTGACATACCCGCAGCCAGACAGCACCTGAAAGAACTACAGGCCGGCTGGGGTCTCACAGACTCCCCCCCACCCCCGAGCACACCACCCATCTGTGCCACCACTGGGAGTCCTTCAAGGGATGGGTCATGCACTCAGAGCCTTCTGACTCTTCCTACAACCCTTCCTGTGACTCTAACTCATCTTTAACTGTCCCCTGTTCTCTCTGACCCACTGAGATGCTCTTCCAACCCCATATCCTTGTTGCCAGAGCAGACAGCCTGGGGTGGAGAACTGAGCTGTAACATGAGAGCTGCTGGATTCCCAACGATGCCATGGCTAGATAAGGTCCCTAGACGTCTGGCACAGGTTCAGCCCAGGGAAACAGACATGGGCAACCACTTCTCATTTTCAGAATATATTTGAAGAGGGTCAAGATTTCCATCAGATGAAACCCATTCCAGCCATGGAAGGAGATGGGGGGAGGGAGACACCAGATCAGTGTCTGTTCCCTCCCCATCCATGGTCTGGGCCAAGGAAGATGTTCTATAAAAGGCTCCCTCCCCCATGTACTTTTGCCACAGGGAGTTTCTCTACCTGGTACCTTGAATCCTTCCTGAACTCTGAGGCAGACCCTTCCTTTTGGGTTTGGTTATTGCCCTCTAACTGGTCCCAGGGATTAGCTGTTTAGGCCATTCTTTGCTTTGCAAGGCTGCCTTACCTGGGACTAGCCTGGGAGCCTTTCCCAACATCTAGACCCACTGTTGGCTCTTAAGATCTCAGCATGAATCTGAGTGCTGGGCCCCTTGTTCATCTGCAAGGACAGGGGGGTTGGCAGGGTGAGTTGAGTTAGAGGTGCCTATGGGAAATGTCTGAATCTTGTGCATATGAGGAAGGTCTAAGCTGGAGATAAAGATTTAAGAGTCACTGCCACAGTAGAGGTAGTAGTAAAAGCCATGAGGGTGGATGTGGTTGCCCATGTAGAGTGAGCTGCCTAGAGGATGAAGCCCTTAGAGGACCAACAGGAAAGGGGCAGGCAGAGGTGCCTGCAGAGAAGTCTGAGAAGAGCAACTGGGGAGGCTGCAGAAGAACTAGGAGAGAAGGGTGCCACCAAAGCTGTGAAGAAACTTCAAAGAAGGAGGGAGGAGTCAACACTGTCAAATGCAGCTGAGAAGTCTAGCAAATGAGGTGTGAATTAGATTTGACACATAGGAAGTTACTGGGGACCTCAGGAATAGCTCATGCAGCAGCCCGTGGGAGCAGAAGCGGGGTGAAGCGTATGTCCTTTATGCAGCATAGAGAACTGTGGATACCAGAGAAGCATCTCTGCCTATGTTGACGGGTACCCTCACCACCTTCTGTTTTCATTTATGTTTCTCTTAACCGAAACACCCCAATAAATGGCTAGTCTGAACCAATACAATAGTTTGGGGTCTATTTTAGTATTATGAAAACTACTGCAAAAAATTTTCTGGGTCCATACACAGTACTATCTCACAGTTTACCTATAGGTATTGAATTTGCAAGCTGGTAAACACTCGAATTGGCTCAACCTAATATATATTTGCCTTTTTATGGTAATACGAGTCTTACATCACTAGTTCCACTGACAAGTGACTGGAGTGAGTATCGGCCACAGCCACCTCCACTTCCCATTCTCGTCCCTGATTTTTCTTACGCTTGGAGAGTTTCACTCATTTGTTCACTCATTTTTTGGGCCCTTCTCTCTCCTCAAAGGCTTAGTTGTTGAACAAAGCATTTATTGCATACACTTACGTCATGCTTTCACGTTTATCTCCAAAGCATCCTCCATCGTTTACATTCCACAGCAACCGCAAGGAAGGTAGGACACAGTCTCACCGCCTTCTTACAGTTTCAGGCTGGAAAGGTAGTGGTAAGGCGCGCGCGCGCCCTGCCGGCGCCCCGGCGTACTGCAGCCTCGCGAGCACACGGCCTCTCTTCCCTGCTCCAGTGAGCTCCAAATGCTCCAGACGAGGCCGAGGCGCGAGAGCACGCGCAAGGCTTCCTGGGAAATGTAGTTGGATGTTTGGGTTAGAACTATAAATCCCGGCACACACCGCGCTACAGCCGCTTTCTGACGAATCTGAATCTTGTTTGCGCCATGGGAAAAGATGTACAAACCTAATTCAGTTTTCACAAGACGCTTTTAGAAAACGTGATAGCTCTCTCGGCAGGTGTGCACAGACCGACTTTGCTTCCACAGCATACCCACATTGGCGAATCTGCTATTGCGGTACTGTGGCCAGCCCCTCAGGGCCCCAATGTGAAGCTTGTGGAATCTGCTGTGGGAAGAAGGACGCGAGGGTTGCTTGGGCAGCTACTGTCATGGCGGCGACAGCCCCCAATGGCGGGGGCTCAGCGCCTGCGGCGACGGGTTCCACAGAAGCCCCGCTGCAGTACAGCCTTCTTCTGCAATACCTGGTGGGTGACAAGCGTCAGCCCCGGCTCCTGGAGCCTGGGAGCCTGGGCGGGATCCCGAGCCCTGCCAAGAGTGAGGAGCAGAAGATGATCGAGAAGGCGATGGAAAGCTGCGCTTTCAAGGCTGCGCTGGCCTGCGTGGGAGGTGAGGCGAGGCGAGTGGGGCCCTTGGGAGGCTGAGGACTTGGACGGCTGTGGGGTTCTCTGCCAAGACCACGCGCCTGAGAGGCGAGGGACCTGCGGGTCTCGACCTTGACTACACCTCCTCCTCGTTCAGTGCAATGTCTCTCCTGTCCCTATGGTCAGCTTTCGCTTATGGAAATTGGATCAGAGAATCGATACTAAGGTTGGAGCCTAGAAGTTATAAAATGGTTGACTTCATTCATTCATTCATTCACTTTAGTAGTTATTCATTCAACGAGGTGGTGGGAATACAGGGTGAAAAACAAGAGTCTTGTTCTCATAAAGCTAATATTTTATTATATAGGGAAGGATGTTGAGAAGGAACCCCGCAGAATAGTGCTGCAGACATAGCAAACTGCAAATTCAAAGGTACTTAAGGCAGCAACTGCCTTGAGGTTTGAAAAGCAGAAAGGCCAGTGTGACTAGAGAGCAGCCAGCAAGAGGGGTAACGAAGTCTGGACGTCTGGACTTGGCCTTCCCCCACCTCCCACCCCTTTCTTTTTTTTTATTTTTTATTTTTTTTAGAGACAGGGTCTCACTCTGTTGCCCAGGCTGGAGTGCAGTGGCACGATCATAGCTTACTGCAGCCTTGAACTCCTGGCCTCAAATGACCCCCTCCCTCAGCCTCCTTGAGTAGGTAGGACTGCAGGTGTGCGTGCCACCACACATAGCTAATTCTTTTTCTTTTTTGTATAGACATGGTCTCATTATATTGCCCAGGTTGTTCTCAAACCCCTGGCCTCAAGCGACCCTCCTGCCTGTGCTTCCCAAAGTGCTGGGATTACAGGCATGAGCCATGGCCCTGGCCTTTTTGTCTTTTTCTTAAACCTTTTGACAATTTGAGAATGTACAGTGTCCCTCCTGTGTGCAGGGAAAAAAGGGTTGACCATATTTGTGGATGAGTTTAAATCTTGCTGAGCATAAAAGATTTTTTTTTTTGAGACAGAGTCTCACTCTGTTGCCTGGGCTAGAGTGCCGTGGCGTCATCCTAGCTCACAGCAACCTCAAACTCCTGGGCTCAAGCGATCCTCCTGCCTCAGCCTCCCGAGTAGCTGGGACTACAGGCATGCGCCACCATGCCCGGCTAATTTTTTCTGTATATTTTTAGTTGTCCAATTAATTTCTTTCTATTTTTAGTAGAGACGGGGTCTCGCTCTTGCTGAGGCTGGTCTAGAACTCCTGAGCTCAAACAATCCGCCCGCCTCGGCCTCCCAGAGTGCTAGGATTACAGGCGTGAGCCACCGCGCCAGCCGAAAATAAAAGACTTTTAAGGAATGAATATGCAAAAGTGAGAATGCAAATGAAAAAAAGTAAAGTATAGCAAAAAGAAGAAAGAGATCTTTTTTGGTTGTGGAAGGCCACAGAAGAGGGGAAACTGGAGCTGTCGCTTGAAAGATTGAGAAAATACAGGTAGACAAAGAAGAGAAATATCATTTCAAGTTGGGTGGAGTGGAGGATTTGGGCTTTTTGCTTAGGCAGTAATTGATTTTTTTTTTAAGAAGAGTAACAAGTGGTAATGAACACGATGAATCAAGACAGAGTGTGGTGAAGAAAAATCTCTGAATGGGAAAGCCATATTGGAAGTTTGCTAGAAGCTTCCTGCGGGCAGGGACTGGGTCTTTATCATTGTGCCTCACACTAATAAATCACTTACATAGTTGTTGAAATAATGAATGGAGTCTTTGTAGTGCTCCAGGGTTGAAGTGATAAAAGCTGGAGACTAGGATGGTAATTGTGGACATAGACAGGGAGGGACATATTTGAAAAACTAAGGCAAAAGATTTCGCCATCTTTCATGACTGACTAATTGTAAAGGGAAGCAAAGAAACAGTCAGAAATGCTCATAAAGGCCGGGCGCGGTGGCTCACGCCTGTAATCCTAGCTCTCTGGGAGGCCGAGGCGGGCGGATTGTTTGAGCTCAGGAGTTTGAAACCAGCCTGAGCAAGAGCGAGACCCCGTCTCTACTAAAAATAGAAAGAAATTAATTGGACAACTAAAAATATATAGAAAAATTAGCCGGACATGGTGGCGCATGCCTGTAGCCCCAGCTACTCGGGAGGCTGAGGCAGGAGGATCGCTTGAGCCCACGAGTTTGAGGTTGCTGTGAGCTAGGCTGACGCCACGGCATTCTAGCCTGGGCAAAAGAGTGAGACTCTGTCTCAAAAAAAAAAAAAAAAAAAAAGAAAAAATGCTCATAAAGTTTGGAACTGGGGTGATAGAAAAGAAGGAGCCATAAATAAGGAGAAAAGTCTGGGAAGGAGGTGTCTGTGATTTCATTGAACTTGTATTGACCATGAGGTGATGAGAGGGCATTTGTCTGGAAATTACAGGAGGCTCAGGGAGGTCAGATATAGACAGCAGAGTGGAATTTGCCATTTGGTAGCTTTGAGACCCTCAGGAAGTTACTTAACCTCTCTGAATCTTGGGTTCTTCATCTATAGAAAGAAGAGGATAATAGCATCTACCTCACAGGATTATTGTGAAGAATAAATGAGGCAGTGACTATAAAGCACCAGAGTACAGTATCTGGCACATGGTGCTTACTAAATGACTATTATGAATGTCACCATGGTCAAGGGAGTGTTTTGCAAAGTTGATAGCTGAACTTGAGGGTGGCTGGTTTACATATGAGAAAGCGTAGAGAGAACAGAGGGTTAAAAATGGAATCTTGGCTGGGCGCAGTGGCTCACACCTATAATCCTAGCATTCTGGGAGGCCGAGGTGGGAGGATCACTCGAGCTCAGGAGTTCGAGACCAGCCTGAGCAAGAGCGAGACCCCGTCTCTACTAAAAGTAGAAAGAAATTAGCTGGACAACTAAAAATATATAGAAAAAATTAGCCGGGCATGGTGGCACATGCCTGTAGTCCCAGCTACTCGGGAGGCTGAGGCAGGAGGATCGCTTGAGCCCAGGAGTGTGAGGTTGCTGTGAGCTAGGCTGATGCCACGGCACTCTAGCCCGGGCAACACAGTGAGACTCTTGTCTCAAAAAAAAAAAAAAAAGTGGAATCTTTAGGAATGTTGGGAAATGAAAGGAGAAAGAAATCCAAGAGGAGACAGGAAAGATGCTGTTGATAAGATAGACCCTGGATTGTATAATGTGGAAACCAAGCAAATGGAGAGTTTGAGTGGCAAGGGAGGGGTGTCCTCTGCACTGGTGACCACCCAAAAGTATCCTTTCAAGCATGATCCCAATGCAGTAATCCAGGAAACATGCCAAAGAAATCTTCATTTCTGTGTTTGCTTCTAGGATTCGTCTTGGGAGGTGCATTTGGGGTGTTTACTGCTGGCATTGATACCAACGTAGGCTTTGACCCTAAGGATCCTTACCGTACGCCGACTGCAAAAGAAGTTCTTAAAGACATGGGGCAGAGAGGAATGTCCTATGCCAAAAATTTTGCCATTGTGGGCGCCATGTTTTCTTGTACTGAGTGTTTGGTAGAATCTGTAAGTGTCTTTGCCTTCTGAGAAATCTTTGCTTGCTGCCATCTTATGACTTTTATACAGAAGTGCTCTTAATGATATTAGAAAGCAGATCAGAAACATCAGATATGTTCTAGATTGAACTTCGATAAAAAAAGGCCCTGATGTAAACTTTTTGTGTGTTTGTAATATGGGCTTGCATTATTTCTTAACTTTTTGTAGGCATAGTTAGTTAATGATTTTAAACATGAGACTTATTGGAGAGCCCTAGCAGAAATTTTGGTTACTTCTTAAATGTTGGACTTGGTTTCAGCACTCTGGTGCCACCTACAGGAAGCATCTGTGAACGCATTCGAATTTTAGGAACTATAGTTTTGGAAAAGATTAGGTTTCCTTTGAGAAGAGACTAAATTAGCTAACTAGAAACCCTGTGTGTTTTTCCTTAATCATCCGTTTGGCTTGTTTCTTTGGCTCTAAACTGCACTTCTCTACCCGCAGTACCGGGGAAAATCAGATTGGAAGAACAGTGTCATTAGTGGCTGCATCACTGGAGGAGCCATTGGTTTCAGAGGTTAGTAAACATCACTCAAATGGTTTCCCTTTGTGGCCTTGGACAGCGTGCTGAAGTTGACATTTCCAAACGTATGAGTGTTCCAGGGACACTTGATATTCTTCCCTTCTGACAAATAAATCATGTTCATTTCTGTGTTAACTCAGTTTTGGAAATTTGCTAGTATCTAGATCAAGTTTTCTCAACCTTGGCGCTAGTGACATTTTGGACCAGATAAATCTTTGCTGGGGTTGGGTCTGTCTTATGTATCATAAGATGTTTAGCAGTATCCCTGGCCTCTACCCACCAGATGCTACTAGCGCCCCTTCAATTGTGACAACTAAAAGAATCTCCCGATGTTGCCAAAAGATCCCTGAGGGGCAAATCACCCCCACGTAAGAACCATTGATTTAAATTTATCTTAGGAAAAAGGGCTGCCCCATATTGAATATGTGGGAAAACTCTCACAGTGAGTAATCCCTGGAGTATGTTGGTATTCAGGGTAGTACAGAAGCATGGCTAGGTCCATTCAGCCCTGGCTAGCCCCATAGCAGACCATGCTGACTTTTTGCTCCAGGCATTTCAAGTATTTAGGCATTTTTCTTAATAATTCTAGACAATTGTCAGTTTCAATTTTGCATATAAATTATAATGGTAATATCTTTCTGCAGTGGAGGATTCTTGGATGTCTGTCTATTGAAAGCCAAGTACAGATATTCTGAAAGTATTAGATTATCAGCTGTAAACAACAAACAAACTAGTTCCCTGCGCCTTCTCCCTGTTGGCGTATTCATCACAAGTGTGTGGGGTGGGATCTCGGTGACCTGACTTTCCTAGAAGCAGCAGTGTTGTTGCTAGGCCACTCTCCATGTGTCATGCCCTGACTTACGCAGAGCAGAAAGCTGTTTTCTCATCTTCTGAGAGTTAGGATGATTTGCTGTCATGCAGACCTGCTTTTGCTTGTCAAAAGCCGTTTACAATTTGTAGAGTAACTTCTCTTTTGGTCTTCCCTTTGCTCAGCTTTGTCAGGGCCTCCTTGAGAAACTCAGCTCTCTCCAGGACTGCTTTGATCACCTTCCCAGGAATTTATTCCATAAACAAATCAGGGTAAAAGGCCATATGCTTTTATTTGATTCCAAGGGCTGGTTCTTAACCAGTTTCCTGCCTGTGAGGGGCTATTTCTATAAGACTGGAAATTTTAATTCCTTGAATGAAAAAAGCTAAACAATGTACAGTTAGATAAAACACACTGGATTAAATCATATGCTTTGCTTCCTTGAAGTCTTAGAGAGAGCTGTGATAGGCTGAGTGACTTAGAACGCTTAAGCTTTTTTTTTTTTTTTTTTTTTAACGTCTGTGGATGTGCAAACCTTTCGTGAATGCATCCTGACCCAGCCCCTGTCAGTACAGGTAATATCATTTCTGTTTGCTTTACAGCTGGCTTAAAGGCTGGGGCCATTGGTTGCGGAGGTTTTGCTGCTTTCTCTGCTGCAATTGATTATTACCTACGGTGAGAGCAATTGCCTGTGGCGAAGGATGACGCCAGCCCTGGATCAGAGCTGTTCTTTGGAGGATGGTTTCTGCACCGCTCCAGGGCCCTTGCTTCAAGGACTGAAGACATTTGTTCTCCCTCACATAGTTGGTGTTGTGAGGAAGCAGCCTGGCTGCTCTCTGCCTCCAGCCTTCAGAGCAGCCACACTGTCCTCTCCTGGACTCCAGCCAGGCTTGACAGGAGATGTGCCAAGTCAGAGTCTCTCCTTAGGGCAGATCAGGAGACAATGTGTTGACTTGTAGGAATTAAGCTGCACAAAGGTTCAGTCCTGACCACAGCTGGCCCTCTAGGCTGTTTGGTGCTGTGGGCCAGAGGTGACTGCATCTTTGCATATACGCAGGAAGCTGCTGTGCCTTGGAACTTCATGCAGCCATTCATCTCGCATACCAGGGCAGGGTAAGGTAAATTTATGCCATCCGACCAATTATGTTATTTGTTTAGCATTCTGCCATCTTTGTTGAAAAAATATATATTTATATAACAGTTTAAAATGTTGGCTTATTTTTATTTTTAAATTCCACAATTCCAAAAATAGTGCCAGGTGGCTCAAAGATTGAACATCCACAGGGAAAGAGAAAGCTCCTGAGAAGTCAGGGAATGTCGGATTCTCAGGGTTTGTAGAGGGATGTATTATCCTCACCAAGAGTGTTAGGTCAGCCAGGGCCTCTCCCGCAGGAAACCTAGCGTAGCCCCTTCCTGGGATGCACTGAAATTCCACACATAGGCCCTGTCGGCCTCTACTAAGAAGCCCTCCTGCGGGCTGGCTGATAGGCTTGCCTGCAGTTTGCTGAACCACACATTACTTTCATGCTCTGGCCACTGAACCAGGCCCAGCTCAAGGACACGTGTGAAGAGTCCTCCTGTGGTCATCTTGATGACTCAATCATAGCAGCTACTGGTGGTATTGAGATCAGCTGTTGAGGGGCTGTTCGCCACCGCCCTTGTTCTCCTGTGTTTATTGTAACATGTTAATGTTTTTTGACTTGACCTCGTGGTCTTTTTCTGACAATAGCAACTTGGCCTAATTGTGCTATAGGATAAAAAAAAATAACTGTTTACAACTGGTCTCCACCACTGGCGCTGCTTTGCTCTGGTGCTTTGGTGGAGAGATAAAGTTGATTAATGCAGGCTTTTGCTCTAGGGTGGAGGGCAGGCAGGTAGGCTTCGAGGGGGCCGTGTAATTCTAGCCACCTTCAGCCAGTGCCAATGGGTCTCCTTTTATCTACTGCACAGTAATTCCTCTGCCTTTTCTTATTTTGCTTTCTTCCTCATCTGCTCTGTCTTCTAGCCCACCCACTCTTAACCAGAATTCAAAGACTCAGTTTAAACAGCCTGGCATCCCAAGTGTTTATTTGTGTGTGAGGGATGGTGTCAAACCCAGCTGGTAACACCTTCCTCTGGCTGTGTCTGCTGTTTCCTTGGGATAACTGAGCCAGTGCACAGGGCTCTTGTCCTTCTATGGTGAATTCTATATAATGCCCCTCCCAGTTGCACAGCCACAAGGCTTTATCAACGCTAGGCAAGTTGGAGCATTCCCCAGAGCTCTAAGAACAAATTTAGGAGTGTTTCCTCTACCTAAATGCATCCCACCTATAAGCACTCTGAAGCAGGGGCGGTCAGACACTCCTACCTGGTACTGTCAAAGTACTCGGATGCCTGGGATCATCTATCAGCTGGTCTGGCACATGGGACCGAACTCAAGAAATGCTGCCCTCACAACTGCCTTGGAAAAGAAGAGCCCAGAGGCTGTCAGTAGCCATCAGTTCAATAAGCCAAGCATTGTCCACATTGACTATTCAATCAAGAGAGGAGATGAATAGTTTCCTGTTTTAGATGGCTAGGGAGCCAGCATGAGCTCATAAACCAAACAGCAACATTCAGAGACATCTGTTCCTGATCTCCAGAATAAACTCAGTGTCCAATGGCTTAGGCTGGAGGGAGGCTGCATTAACCCCACTGGCTCTCCCAAAGGGAGGGTGGGCCTTGTGGGGGATCCAGCTTCTCCATCAGGCAGATTAGACCAAAGACTGCCCCAAAGATGTGCCACTTCCAAGGAAAATGCAGAGAACAGTTTACATAGAATAAGCAGCTGCTTCTTCAATGGACAGCTTCCTGCCATCTCTCCGTAGCATATTGATGGCCAGGTCCCTGGTGAGACTTCTGTACTTGGTGGAAGGAACTGTAGCAGCAAATGCAGAAGGCAAGACCAGAAGCTGCCTGGCTGGCGCTTGACCTGGAAGGAGGCCTCCGTGAAGAGCAAGGACAGGGCTTGGGCTCACCTCCCCCACACTCTGCCCCCATCCCCAGGGGCCAAAAGGGAGGCTCAAGGGAGTGATCTAGGTAAATAGATTCCTGGAAACTCCCATCTGGATGCAGCTGGAAGAGTTAAATATTTAGATTGGTGGTCTTCCCTGGACGACTGAGAACACAAACATCCACACCACAGGGATGAGTTTTGTGCAAATGTTGGGGCTTTGCATTTTTTTTTTATTAACATTTTCCTCTCACATGGTTTACATCAATTTATAATAATCTACATAAATTGAAACAGAACATAGACAAAAAAAATATATCCTTACCAACTTATTAAAGTCAAATATTAATGAAGGGTCCCATCCTACCTGTATCAGCAAAAAACCAGCAGCCATCAGCTATTGCCCGGCAAGGACAGGCATACCTGGGATTCCGGTAGCCTGTCCTGGGCTCCTGTTGGCACAGCCCACCCTGCTGGGCAAACTGGGAGTTCTGGGCTGCACAGTCCCTGTCTCTCAGGAGAACCCCCCGTCATTTCCTTGGTACAGCTTAGTCCAGCTCTGGCACCCAACCCTCCCCACTCTGGGGTAGAACTTATAAATAGGAGCCTTTTGCATTTCTTGGCCCTTGCCGCCTTGCTCCTGTTCTCATGTTGCCTAAGCAAGCTTGTGGGCTGCAGGGCTCCCTGATGCTAAGAAGCAAACATTCCTTGTTTAGAAGGTGGGAGGCACCCACTTTGGGCTGTAACTAGCTCTGCTGGGCCTCTAATTCATTACTGTCAATCACTTTGGAAGCAAGCAAGAGCCTTCCATGCCACACACCAACACCTGAGTGCCAAGTAGACCTCAGGAGTGGTCAGATGCTGGATTTAGATCCAAGTGGCATTCCTTCCCCTTCACCTCCTGTCTCAGGGAGCAGGGCTCTTTGCTAAGCTGCAAACTGTCAGCTGGGTGGTCAGTATTCCAATGTGCACAGAATATACACTGTTCTGCAGAAGGCAAAAGGTACACACAGGATCAGAAAGGACCCTGTCTCTCACTGAGCAAGCACTACAGCTTTAGGGCCAGCAGTCCTTCTTTAAGACTTAGCCCTGAGCACAGCAATGAGAGCTGTTCTCCCCAATCCTGATGGCCTAGAATCTACTCTCTGCCACATGCAAGAGGCCAGGAGCTGTGCTGTAACGCAAGCCTTTGTCACTGGAGTGTCTGCCCTCCTAGGCTGATTGCCACAGCTAACAGCTGCTGCTCAGAGGGGAATTGCACTTTGGGAATACTCACTCCTTTCCAGTACTGAGCAGTGGTTCTGGAAGTTGGGACTGGAACCTGCTGATCCCCTACTCAGGAGTACAGCATCAACAAGGCGGGCCCCTTGCAAAACCTGGTCCCAAGAGATGCAGGTGCCTGTGATTCCTTGTCCGCCCCCAACTTCCGGAGTTTCCCAGAATTCACTCAAAACCTACATCCAGAAGCTAGGGATGGGGCGGGGGCAGCACCATGACAGCTAGCGACTGGACTGTGCCTTTCTTTCCCAGGTCCTGGAGTACACGTGGCAGTGGGGCTGCCCCATGGCAGTGCTTGGTTGTAGAGAATGTGTGTAAAGTCTAAGGCAAGAGCACCACGAGGTACTGAGGTGCCAGGTGGCCTCCTGGGTAGAGCCTGCCTGTTTCTGGACACCCGCTTTAGCCATATTAGCTGCCCTCCAGGAAGCCTGGCTCCACGAGAAAAGCCACAACAACTTGCTTCTAAGAGTGTGCCCGCACAGCTCAGGACACGCAGTGCTGCCGCCGTTCCTCTGACTGCTCGCCCTGTCTCGTTCCTCAGCAGCCTGACTGCGCCCCACCTCCCCCAGGTTCTCTCCTGACTCTGGCTGTCTTGCTAGCAGGTCACTTGTGAGTCTTCACACTCAAAGGAAATAGAACACCAGGGGAAAAGGAACTGAAAAGCAGTAGAAGAAACAGTCAAAGGTGCCTCACTGGTAGGCAGGAGACAGCAAATAAACCCCAGAAATGGAGATTCTCTTGTGGAAAATTCCAGAAATGAGCTCTCCAGCTTTGTGCTAAGCTGAGGATTAGTGTGAGTCTGTCTCCTTGTCCAACATTTGCACAGGCAGCAAGGCAAAGCAAATGTGCTTCCACAGGTGGGGGCAAGGAGAGGGCCGGGGCAGCAGGCGGCAGCAGCAGACGGGCCACCACGGCCGCCACCACCCAGGGCCTCTTCAGAGCTTTCAAGGTGATGGAGCAAAAACCGAAGCTGCACATGCACGCGGGCAGGCTGGGAAGGAGGAGAGGGTGGAGGGCACCGAGGGGAGGCTGCCAGGAGACGGCAATCTGGGAGCAGGGCCAAGAGAGGAGAAGCTGGCAGCGGTTATACAGTGCAAAATAAAAGCCCTTGGACTGGACTCGGGAGGAAAGAAAGTGTTGGAGGAAATGAAAGAACAAAGCAGGCTGTCTGTGTGCCCACACCGAGTCAGTCACTACCTTTTCTGCATGACAAATATACATAAAACAATTCCCGAACAACACAGAGCATCAGACACAGCTAGAGGTATGGAGGGCAGGAGCCCAGGGCGTGGCGGTGAGGCTGGGGCTGGTCAGCTGGCTTTGTACAGGTGGCACAAAAGACGCACACATTCCAGTTCTTGGAAGTCCGCTTCCCTCGGAGTCTGGAGTGCTGGGTTTGGGAGTTTGCTATTGCAGTCTTTCAAGTCTGTGGTAGGCCCCTGGCCGGAGGGGCTGGCTCTGGCCACCCCCCCGCAGCTGCCCCCGCCTTGGGCTACACGTCGGTAGAGAAGTACAGTGTGTTCCGCTTCAGTTCTGCAAAGGAGATGGGGGGGTGCTGCAGGTAGTAGAGAAGGACCTGGACCTGTGGGGAGACAGGGAGACTGAGGCTGAGGACCTTGTCCTCCTGGCCTTCCTCATCTACTCTGCTGAGAAGAAATGGTCCCTGGGCTGGGGCAAGTCTCCGCTGCCCCTCCTACTCTCCAGGCCGGTTCTGGCCATCGCCCCTTCCTCAGCAGCCCCGCTGTGTTTGCTCTTTTGCAGCAGTAGAGGGCGCTGCAGGGCAGACAGTACGGGAGCCTGGGGCCACTTCCTAAGTCATAAGCTTCCAACCTCATCTTGAGGTTAGCTCTGGCTTAGCAGCTCTGCCTCTGACAGGCCCCTGCCCTGGGTCTCGCAGGTATCCTAGGGAGGCCTGACCCTGGAAGCA